AGTAATATTGAGTGATACACATTAGGTATGATATAAATTTGAATATTTTGAGTTTCTATCATAACATATAGTTTTTATGATTGTTCGAAGCAATAAATTGAATTGTTATTCATGTTAATTTCCAAAGGCCATTCAGAAACGCATAGACGGATCCGTTAGATTTAACAGGACCTGGACGGAATACAAAAATGGTTTTGGTTCCCCGGAACAGAATGTCTGGGTTGGTAAGTGAAAATGGATTCAAAATAGGAACTGATAAGTAAAAAATTAGAGCTTAATAAAGATCTGAATTTAAGATTAGGTAATATGTGTTCTACGATATTCACATATCATGAATTGATTACTTAAAAATGAATAGAAAAAAAGAGGAAAATCTATCAGAGGCAAAGTCTTAATAAGATTGAATTTAGCACCAACATCTACATACGTATGGAAAATGATTTGATTTTTTATCACGATATATTTATATCTTTGATAGAATTAATTGTATTTTGAGGATTTTCAGTTGATTTAAAATACATCTTAATACAGGAAATGACTTAATACATCAGTTAACAAAAGAAAACAACTCGACCCTTTATGTGTCTATCACTCTTCATAATGGCGCAACGCTGTATGAAATGTACGACAGATTCTCTATCTCTGACGAAACAGCGAAATATAAACTCTTTCTTGCAGGACCTGCCACGGGAAACTTAGGTAGGTGTATTCATGTTATTTTATTAAAGAGGGGTTCAAATCACGTATATCATCATTTAATTCTTTGCATTGAAATATTATTAAGTTGTTGAAAAGAGACACATATACGTATATTTTTCCTATCCTTTTTTATTCCACGGTAATTTTACCTGAATGAATCAGACATTCGTGATAAATGCTTTTAAACTCCGATACATGTTTGTTTACATGATTTTTTGTTGTTTCACTTTCACTCCGCTAAATACTGATCAGTAGTTATGGAATATTTGGTTGTAGCCTTAAGATATATGCACTGCCCTTTCACTCACAAACTGAGAATTTTAATGTAAAGTTGGAAAAAATAAGTTTAATTTTTATAATTCCAATTACGAAGATTAAAAATTGTTTCTTTTTTAGACATTCATACCATCCATTGTTTCTCTACAGCGTTTAATGAAAAATTAAAAGAACAAATTTAATAAAGTTTGGAAAATTGTAAACTTACTAATACGTTCGGATTTTAGTCTGCCGTAAACAATTATTATTCCTCTAATATACAAAACGTATAATTATTATTAAACATGGCCATAAAATTAAGTTTTACGGTCACATTAAATTTGTTCGTTTAATAAAATTTAACGTAGATCTTTACCTCATTATTTTTTGTTAAATTCACACTTTACTTTATAATACTTCCAAAAATAAAGTTATATACGGAGAATTGTAAACTTACTAATACGTGCAAATTTTATTCTTTCATAAACTAATATTAAATCTCTTGTATATGTGATGAAAATGTACGGATTATACCTTCCCATATAATTAAGATTTAAGGTTGTATTTGATGAAATTCAACATTATTATATTATTGCATAATATTTTTATTTTACATTTATTCCATCAATAATTTGTATGGTTTACAATTGTGGGTTTTTTGGCAAGTATTTTACAATCTTACACAAATCCATTTCTCATTCAATTTTATTTCAATAGTGTACAAACAATGAGTTCTAACAAAGTACAAAATATTTCAAATTTAAGCCTAAAAGTCAGAATTAAAAAATTTACAATCATGATTGTAGCTCAATTATAATGGAGTAAATTTCTACATACTAGTAGTAAGTAATATACTGAAGTAATTATAAATAATATAAGAATAGTATTGTATGTAAAATTCAAATCCGCAATAAATCAAAACACAACAGGTAAAAAATGTAGTCATTCTGGAGTCCAAAAGACTGCAAAATCTGACTGAAACTGCCCCTATTAAAACTTCTGCATGGGTTGTAAATGGCTTTTCAATTTCCCACAATAAATTATATCATACTTTGCATAAAAAGAATAAAAGTTGCCAATAAAAGTTGTCCATTCTTTTTACATGTACATTTTAATAAGACACACTAAGCCACTAACAGAGAAGCCTCACTCGCCCACAAGCAACAGCAAAAGGATCGGTCAGAGACACCACCTTTCTCTTACTTGGGTATCAAGATCTGCAACTTACTGCCAGCATAGCTCTTTTAGACCACCCTAATATTGTTTCCCAAGTATTTCAACAATAGATGTCCATGCACTAATTAGCCAAGTTCAACTTGAAAAATACTTAATGTTGACTGTGAAAAATACAAGACCCAAAAAAATCCTTTATATCATTTGGTTATGTCAATTCAAATTAAGGAAAAAGTATCACAATTACACAAAACAATAGCAGCTTAAATTTGTTTACAATACATGTAGCTCATTTCTGTTCCAACTGCTACGTTTATTGCTTGATGATTGTAATATAACATATCATCATTAAATCAACGTTACATTGGAATGCAAAATATTTCGATAGTGATATTTTCAACTTTGCTTTAAAATATCAAAAATGAGCTCTGAAACATGCACATATAAAAGTGCTGTATAAACATATGTAAAAGTATATTTAACAATTTTTTAAGCCTTAATTACAATTCCATAACTCATAATTCATAAACTCTCTTACTTCAAATGGAAGGAAACAAATTAATATTTCACTCTTGCAATATCAATTGTAATATTTATTAAAATCACAATTTACCCCTTTTTTACTCAGAAATGTCTCTACCTCATTTGCCTATTCTATTTTTTACATCTATGACTCACTAAGCCACTGACAGAGAAGCCTCACTCGCCCACAAGCAAAAGCAAAAGGATCGGTCAGAGACACCACCTTTCTCTTACTTGGGTATCAAGATTTGCAACTTACTGCCAGCAAACTCTTTCAGACTACCCTTGATCATGATTGTCTTATTTTTTCCACAATAATGTCCATGCACTTATTATTTAAGTTAGACTTGTACATATATGTGAGATATAAATCAAGATTAAAATGTATGTGATTGCAGACCAATAAATGTTTTAACAATAAAATACATAACAGTTTTAATCTGTAATCAAGCATAAGAAAAAACTTTCACTGTCAAAAATACAACACTAGGTATATTTTTCTTATCTAACATTGAATTTGTGCAAAACAGTAGCAACTCAGATATTTCATCTCTAATAGCCCATCTCTGTTCAATTAATACATCCATAGGTTTGACTCTTTTAGATTCTTTATTTGTCCTAGTTCTTCTTATGCTCTGTCTTTTAGAGTGCTTTGATTTGAGAATGGCACTTTTGGTGTCCTGTTCTTTGAAGACATTCTCACATTTATCAGAACGCAACTTCAGCTTTCTAATTTCATAGATAGTATTATCTTTAGAATCATTTTTTGTACTATGAAGATGTAACCAATATTTGAAACTGCTTTTTCTTGCTTCTTCTTCTCTTCATGCCAAGAAGTTTTCAGCTCTGGAGAAGCACACCTAGCTCCTAATTTCTACAATAAACATAAAAATAAATACCCATTTGCCTATATATACATATTATATGTGTGCTTCCGGATTTATGCAATTGCATATATTAGATAGTAAAAACAAAATCTGAGTTGATTTTAAATTATCATTTGACCTAGAGGAAACACAGCTCAATTTTGCTTAATTAAAAATTTACAGAAGACTACAAAAGATATGCCATTTTTTCAAATCTGGGTAATAAAGACAGATAATTATCTATAATTTCAGGCCAGCGAGCTACAGATTTCGAAGCGTGTAAATTTGGGTCTAATGAATTTTTTCACCATCTTTTTTTTTTGGAGCATTTTACCTGCTTGACCTTGAACATGTTGAGATGCCCTTTTCTCTGCTCCTCCACACTTATTCTTTCATTTAGCAGCAAGATACTATGGATATGGTAAAAAGCTGTCATAAACAAAATATGAAAAATTAATAATAGGTGTGGCTCTCCATAGAAAGAATATACAAAAAAGGAGAAAAAATATACAAACAGGGTTTACTTATGACTAACATGACTACAGCAAGAGGATAACATTTTACACAATGAAAAAAATTCTCTGTGTCATCTAGTTAAGTGAATTGCATAAAAAAACATATAATTATATGTATAGATCAAATTTATAGACGACAAAATATGATATGAAACATACATAATGGTACCGTAGTCCGAGCTCATGAAATTTGAAGCTTTACAAAGTTTACGAAAATGCAAAGAATAGCATTTACAGCATTTATCATATTAAGACACACATATATATAGTTTCACAGCAGCAAGCTGCAGAATTTGTGGAAGTACATGTAAATTGGGGATTGGCGACTTTTTGCCATCTTTTTTTTTTAGCAATTTACCAATATATTTACCTGCTTGACCTTGAATATGTTGATGTGCGCAGCCCTTTTCTTCATGTTCCTCCACGATATTTTATTTAATGTAGCACAAAGATACTATGGATAAAAAAAAATATGAAAAATTTAAAAGCAGGTATGGCATGGTAGAAAAACTATACAAACAGATGTATTTATGATATAGAGCAAGTAGATAACATTCATACAATAATAAAATCCTCAAATTTTGTGATCTAGTACATATTATGATATGTATTATATTAAATTTAGAGACGACAAAACATGATATCAAATGGGTGTACATACTCGGAACACCTGGAATTTAAGAGTAAACTTAAATGCAAAGGTTAGCATCTACAGCATTTAACATGCAAGTTATTGGGATAATGAACAAGTGATTTAACATAAAGTAAAATATATTAACAACTTACACTGAATATAGCAAGTTTTTAAAGTGGACAACAAATGCAAACTTCCAGTAAATGGTGGCAATCTCATACACAATAAGTTGTACAACAAATGATTAGTTCGTACCTCATATTGGGTAGTGAAATATCTGGTCAAGTCACTTTCAGGACGAGAGCCTCAGCAAGTTCAATGTTGATCATTCCCATAGCTACTTCAAACTTTTCTGGCACAATTTCTGAAAAAAAAGATGTATACTGCAGGGATTTTTATTCAAACTAGGAATAATTCTCATGAATGTAAAAATTTGAAAAGTTTATAGATGACCGACTAATACCAGACACAGAACAGAAAACTCGCTCGGGTCTTAAAATGGCTCAGGTGAGCTAAAATAAATCAATTCATGTGATTTTATTGATCTTATCAGAAAATTTAAGAAATCTTACCGCTGTTAATCTTCATACTGCTTTTGTCATTTCTTGTGAGCATTTGGATTCTTGTAAATAATGCATGCATAATTGTGCATCATAGAATGTGATAGCTATTTTTAATAATTCATGAATGCTTACGTATTTAACGTAAAAAAATTATGCATAGCTCAGAATCCATTGCTATTGTATTTTAAGGATAAGGAAAATAAGAATATAAACCTCGTATTGTCTACTTGGTAAAGAGCATTTCAAGTTGTTGCAATATTTTTTATACTCTTATGCATAAAGATACAAGTTAATAAAACATTGTTTGTTTATTTGTGATAATAGAAAATTTGAGCGGTATGGTTCTCACCATTTTCACAAGCTGTCTACATAGCCGGCGTTATGGGGAATCGTCTCAGGCACAGTCCACACTGCAACTATTGAAATAATCAAAATAAGTGCTCAATATATTCTTGAGTAGGCATTAAGAAATAAATAAATAATTTATTACATTGTACAACACTCTCTGTAAATGCTGAACAGAGGAACACTTTAGTGACAAAAATTCTGAAACCAATTCCAAACGAGAAAATTCTGGTTAAAATCCATCTTTAAGTTAGATGGTTAAAAGTGATAAATAATTATTACAAAATGTAAATAGCGCTTGCCCAAACGTTTTTACTGCCAGACATTTTATGTGTACAGCCCAGACTAAGGAACAGTAACATTATCAGTAGCAGAGGCAATTATTCATTCAAGGACACATGATAAAATTTTGTACATTGTTCCTACCGCTAAACAGGGTCGTAAATGTCTTCATCTTCTGTTAAAACATAAATTCCATCCCAAGTTTATCATGCTTCTCCTTTTCGAGTAACTCTCTTTCGCCCCTTCCTCCCGTACAACATCATGATCAAGTTCAACATGGCTGCGTGGAACTCTCCAAAAAATTGAATTTCGGCGCGGTGTGTTGTTTTTAAATAAATTGCTTTTCGAGCCCGACTTCGATCCCGATGTAATTGTAGTACAGTGGTAGTCGATAGAGAAAAAAAAGTTATATTCCACAGTATTGAAAAATCTACATAAGGGTTAAATAAATAAAAATGAGAAATAAATAAATTAAAATAAATAGGGTGCCTAAATATTTTTTTTCAAAAATGTTTCAACATAAGTTTACATTAGGTATAAAGAATTATTTATGACATATTCAAAATACCAAAAATGTACTTAAACTTTAAGTATAAGCATATTTACTTTTACATGTCGATATTCTTAAACGGGACGTATAATAATCTCAATTAAACTATATTATTCTCGACGTATTTTGCATTAAATATGATTATACTTTTTTGAAAACTGTATTTAGTTATATCACAATATATCTCATGTAAAATTTACCGTTATACATTAATTAAATTCAATACAAGAAATTAACTGGAGTAAACGAATTTATTAAATTATATTAAACGCGACTTTTCATGCAGTGTATATTGCTATTCTTACGCGGGTTTGTTAAGGCAGCACACGGATCAGAATTCGGCGAATTAAGACTTTTTTATAATGGTTAACACTAATAAATCAGAAAAGTTACGGATGAAACTGTTGCTATCATTATGCATTTTATAGACTTCAATGGGACTTATACAACAGGAAGCACTTCACCTTGTCGTCATCACGTGACGTCTGTAATTAGAATATATGCCTTAATGAAAAAGTAACATTACTCCGGGGATACTTAATTTCAATTTGTAATATCAAGTATGTAAAATATTTCTGTACCATACAAAGTGCTGCTAAAATCCTACTGTCCTATCAGAAAAATAATTATTCAACACTTTCGGTCGAAACCTTCACAAAATTTTACATTTCGTTCAAAACATCGAAAAAAATGCATCAATTCCCGTTAACCATACGATTCTAGCAGCAATTTCCAAAAACAATAGAATAAGAACTTTAGATAGAAACATAAATTAAGTTTCAAAGTATGTGGCGTAGTGTTGAACTTTTGCATCTTTTTTTGTTACGAAAGACAGAAGAAAGGCTGATCGGTAAGTAAATACCCTACCTGCTTTAATATTACGAAGAACGTGTACAAGTATATTAGCCTAACTTTTTCATATGCTTTATTCCCACATGAAGCACACATGATATTCAATCTGAATGCTTTTAACTTCCGATTTCTTGTGTTTGTTTACATGATTTCTCGTTACGTTTCACTTTCCCTCTGCTACTGCATGATCAACAGTTATGACGTCACGGATTTGGTTTAACCCCTGTGATAACTACAGAGGTCCAAAAACGACAAAATTCCATTAATGTTTTGCCTCTGCATATTTTGATTCATTTTTACGACCTCAAATCAATCTTAGATATCAATTTTAAGAAATTGTTATCTCTAAACTTCACATCATATAGCTTACTATGACGACATATATAGGCAAGTAGAATATTTGGTTGTAACCTAAAGATACCTGCGTATTATTTGGGAAAAGTGGATCTTAACATGAACAACAGGCCAATCGTTGAATACTAGTAAATAGCAACGTTTATGCCTACTGATGTTTACATTTTAGGTCGAACACATGGTTCATGTCCCTTTATATTCAATATCAAATGGACTGAAAAATATACAAATATTATAAAGTGTGAAAGATGTAACAGGCGTTTGCAATATATAGTTCACTACAAAATATGTATAATATGTAATTATGTACCATGTGTCAACTTGAGAACACCAGTCCTTCAAGGATAAGAAAAATGAGCTGCATCTCTAAAGCATTAAAATGGTTTAAACACTGAGATTTTATCAGCTATTTCAATACCCGTGGTCACACGTGTTATTGTTCAGGGAACTGACAATTGTAAAATAAATATTTCAAAAAGGAGTAGTGAAGCAACCGACTTGCAGAACACCGTCGACTAACATAGAATTTAAAGTTTATTTGCAATCATAAGCATTAAATAATAGAATAAAATATATGAATTGCCAACTTCCTTTACAAAATAAAAAGTTAGAATGTTCTTTGTGCCTTTCCGATTACCATTAGATTTGTTTATTTTTTTCAGCGCAAAGTTCCTGATGTACATTGAGTAACCCACAATGCAATTCTCATTGAGCTGATGTGTCAGTAAATGTTGCCTCATTTGCCAATCTGATGAAAATATATATTGTGAAACATGTGAAATAACGAACAACGTTTAAGATCAAAAATCCACAAGAGAAATCAAAACACAAAATAGAGCAAACACGGACCTCCAAAACATCAGAGGTAGGATCAGGTGTCATGGAAGAGTGAGTATCCCCTCCCGATCGTCACATCCACCATGTGCTCCTTGTCATGATTGGGAAATACCAGAAAAGTCTGTCGTCAATTCAGTGTATAAATAATGGACTAACAATAAGTAAGAAAAAAATCAGTCAGCAGTTGACTCAATCTTGAATTGTATTTGCTGACAAGGTCATTGTATCGACAGAACTTACAAAATGATGACTTTAAACGAACCAGATGAAATTCCTGTTTCATAAACTTGTTTATCAACAATTTACCTCGTTTTTAGAAATTATTCATACATAGAGGATGCTCTTGCATATCAAATAAACAGATATATACAGACTCTATTTGTAATTGATGAAGGTATATGCTGCATAAGTAAGGAACATTGTCGATAGAAAAGTTAGTCATCACGATTACTATATAACTTGGTTGTTAGATTATCCTTAAGGTCTTTTTCAAGTAAAATATCCAAGTATGAATCAGATGAGCCAGACTTTGTAGTATCTTTTATCTCAAGGTATTTAAAATCAATTTTTGATTGAATAATCAATCCATTAAAATTAAATGATGTTTTATGAAATAATTAGAAGTTTGCTTGATGTCATAAAAATGTCAGTAACTTAGGTCTGCTAACCGGAACCATAAATGCACTCTCGTATGTGCTATTTCGAGGATATAAACCGGACATTAAGGACGACTTTTAATTAAATTCATGTTAATTACTATGCAACTGAAGTTTGTCTATAGGTTACGGACATCAAGTGATGCCTAGTATATTTCTAAAGAGGTAAGTATGAAATTTTTTGTAGCCGTTTCATAGTTTATTTTCAAAATTCATTGTGATTTTTTTTAAATACTGAAATCAAAACTCTCGATCAGCATTTCAACAAAATTGTCTTTTAGACCTCGGATTTGGATAACATTATATTTTAATTTTATTTTATTTGCTAAAGAAATATAAACTGAGGATACCCTATTTGTGTAGTGGTTTTGGATTTTAATTTCACTAGTCCTAGTTTTTTTTATGGTATTACATCAACACAGTAAATTTTGCATTAGGGAACTGACCTCATGCTTTGTTTTCTTTTCTGTGCCAGAAAAACGTCATGTTTTATGAACAATATCTCTTCAGAACATTACAGTGCTAAGGAAACTACACAGGAAGATACAAGACCTTTCAGTTTAAACTGAAAGAAGGCTTTCAGAGACTTTTCAGTTGCCATTCAGCCACTGAATGGCACATACATTTTAGTGACCTATCAGTTGCATTTCAGTCACATTTTAGGTACCTTTCAGTCACCATTCAGCGGAGACGTATCAATTGCACACTGTTATTAGCAGACCCATTTTTCTATATAAGGCAGAATTTATTCAAATTCTTATGTGTGAAAAGAAGAAAACATTTGCTGTTGCCTTCTACCCGACATTAAATGTATCCATGTGAGCATGAATGAAAGATACTACACCGTCTAACACATCTGTTTCATATTTGGATCTTTTACTTTAAAAAAAAACCTTTTTAATTTAACAACCAAGCTCCTCGATAAACGTAATGACTAACTTTTCTACCGTCAAATTCCCTTACTTAAACAGCAATTTACTTTAATCATTGCATACAGAGCTCATATATCCCAGTTGATTCGATCCACAAAGGTAGGTTCTACGTAAGAACAATTTCTAAAACTAGGTAAATTATTGACAAACAAGTTGATGAAACAGGAATATTAGCAGTTATGTTTAAGATCATCATTTCGTAAGTTCTATGGTCGATACAATGACCTTGTAATCAAATATAATTGATAACTGAATCAAATGCGGAAGTTTTTCATACAAATTGTTAGTCCAACATTTATAAACTGAATTGACGACGGATTTTCCGGTATTTTCCAATCATGACAAGAATACACTGCGGGTGTGATCGTTCGATACCACCTCTGATGTTTCTTGAGGCCCGTGTTTCCTCTGCTCTTGCTTTTTTTTTTTAAATTGCTTTAAGGACTTTTGATTATGAATAAGGTTCGTTATCTCAATATCTTTCATCTTTAAAAAAAAATGCATACCTGCTAATTTTTTCTAAGAAATATCTCTTCACCTAAACTGTCTTAATGATATTTTTGGGTTCATGGCTTTCGTATTATAGAATTAATTATAAATAAATGCAAGCTACGGAATATTAATTTTTCAATCAGTATATAAATCAGTACAATTTATGGAAAGCCCTACTTTAACATTTTTGTACCCTAAGCTTATGTTTTTAATGTCTTGTGAACGTTCAAAGTTGAAATCTACATCAATTCAGTTACAGCATTAAAATATATTTATGTTTTTTTTTTCAATCCACAAAAGCAGAAACAAAAAAAAAATACTTAAAACGATTTTCTTTTTTATAATGAGAGCTTGAAAGCCTGTGCGGAAAATCTAACAATAAAAATAATTTTGAAGTCTCAAATGATAGAAAGGAAAAATATTGAATAAAAGTTTTAAAAAGTAAAAAATAAAATGTCTGGTTGAAAAAAAAATCTCTGGTCATTTTAAGGCCCTAGCTAGAGAATATGAACTATCATTGTGACGTTCTTCTGTGCGCTTTGTTTTCCTGGAAAAATTGACGGATTTTCCTTAAATGTTACTTTTCAATAATGGAGGATTGTATTTAAAATTAGGGCCTGCTAGACTCATTATCCTCTCTTATATGTTTCCTGCGTCCATGTGTAATAACCTTTTTACAGATGGGTGTTGCTTTAGTAGTTTCAGAT